TTCCTGAAAAGGTCCCTAGAGTCATGGACCCATTTTGAGATACCACTGCCTGAAACAAATGACTTGTAAGACAATGATGCTCCCAAAATGATATACTCTAGGCGTGGAGTCTCGTGTTGACAATAATCGAGACGTAACGTCAAGGAGGTCAACATGACTCTACCACTTACTATCATGTGTGTGTACTCAAGCTCGGGTATAGAGTTTTTCTCTCATGTAACATGATGAATCCCTGCCCATAATAAATAATACAACAGATATCCAGAACATAATGAATATATAAGAGAAATAAAATGCGAAAAAATAAAACAATAAAGATAAACACTCAAACATGCAAAGAAACAAAAAAACTAGGCTTGACTTGCTTAGGGAGAAATGTCCCCAGCAGAGTCGCCAACTGTCGCGCTGCGAAAATTATAGATTCGTTACCGCACTTTATTTATTACAAAGGAAAGGGAAAATATTGATAAAACCCCTAAAAGGTAAAGAAAATGGTCGTCGCAATCATGTTTAGGTTTGGAAGTCAGTTATGCAAGGGGAATGTAGTAAAACCCTTCACATCCGTTGTACTCAACGGGGACCATTTTGATTGTTCTTTGCGTGGATGAGTATTTTTATTTAAAGGTTACTTGCGTTTGGTTTTAATTAAGGGGAAAAATAAGTTTTTAATTAATATGCTCGCCAAGATTTTAAAATCCCATGCCTATGCATTCTCATAGTGCAATGAGAAAGTTAGAGCTATGTAATTCATGGGATATAAAATAAGTATTTGTTGGTTGTTTTTACTGAAAAATGTTAACATTCGCATTCTAGCAGTTAATCGTTGCATGTATTCTTGTGCGTGGGAGGTTTAACCATTGTTTGTATTATGGTAGAACGAAAATAACATGTCTTTGTGAAAATATTTTGAATACCCTAAGGACAAAAATTGAATTTGATTGGTTGTGATTGATTTTTAGTTTGAAGACGAATATTCAAACAGGGAGCTCTACAGTAGTGTCTGAACATTCAGGGAGAGAGAGTCTACATCCTCCTCCTTTTTCTTCCTTTAATTATGAACATGACCTTGATTTGAATTACACTAAAGTTTATGAATGGATGTGAATACTTTGAATAACTGGGCCCTACGTCCTATATTCAAAGGTATTTAGAACAAGGGTAGGAATGCTCCCTCTCATTCTTCTCCATTTCTTAAGGCTCATGGCATACAATTCATATCGTATTTTTAAAGTGTTTTGAATTTATTTTCAAAAAGAGGCTTTAGTCTCAAAAGGGAAAGAAATGAATGTGTGAATGGGATATGGTACCAAAATGGGGGTAAAGAACAATGTTTTCATGCATCGGTTCTTTTTTATTTTCTAGGGTTTCAAAGGTGAAAGGACAAGTGATTGACCTAAAGGATCAAGTATTGTGCAAGCCTTAAGATCTAATTTAATTTAAGTAACAAAGGGACTTGTGATCACTTTTTTGAATGAAAACCCTAACGGAACATGCAATTTGTTTCAAAGGTTATGTTAAAAGTCCTAAACCACAAATATAATTAATTGATCTAGCTAAGATTGATCCATTAATCAAATCAACAAGGGGAACATGTTAGGCATTCAACTATACACATAAAAAATCATGGCATTATGAATAAAAAACCAAGGACACAAAGGTTGAATTCAATGATTAAAAAAAATCCTAATTTCTTCTTAAATCTAATATACCATTAGTTTTAAATTAAGAATTAGATCTAACACAAATTAAATCCAATTAAAAATTCATAACCTAATTAAATGTGTATTAAAATGTCCATTCTTTAATGTGTTAGAAAAAAGTATGTTAGAAGAAAATAATAGTGATAATTAAAAATAATTATCTTCCAGGGGCTGTACAAAGTGAAATAGGGTGTGGATTGTGTAAAAGGGCGTTGGCCCATGAGAAAAGGCCTACATTGTTTTTTACTTGGTTGGATTCAGAAACTAGGGTGAATTAGCATTGTATAGGGTGCTTCCAACAAAAGCTGATGGGCTTGGGCTGGAAGCCTACTAGAGTGAGGGCAAAGGGCAAGAAGAGCTCACCTTTCCTTTAATTCCTTCCTCATTCACTCATACACGTCCTCTCCCTTTCTCTAAAACCTCAGGTGGCCTGAAATCTCCCCGCCGTGTTGGAAATTGCTTCCAGTGGCGGGGCACCACCAAACATCACAAAAATGTCACCTCTTGACTTGTCTCCACGTCTTCTTCCTATTTCCAACCTTCATTTTTACCAAATCTCAATTGAAACCTAGAATTTAAAATTGAAATTGAATGGTAACCTGACATAAACTCAAACAATAACCTTAGGGTTTTAATTCATTGCCACAAACTCTACAGTATGGTAACTATGGTGCAAAGAAATGAAGAATTAAAAATTCATATCCTACCTACAAAGAGGGGAATCATTCATGTATGGGTGGCTAAAAAGAGGAATAGTAGAGGGTTCTTACCCCCATGCATTTTTTCTTCCTTTATTTGTATTTGATGTTTGTGGCCAAAAAGGTTTCGGCAAAATGTTTGAGGCGATCAATGATAATATTTTCCTTTTGATTATAATATAATATGTTATTGTTATTGTTGATTTCCGATCTATCTTTGACCAAGTATATTGGTGTGTTTGTGGGTTTATTCCTTTTGATAAGGCGTGAGTAATTGATATTACCCATTGATGCCTTTTAATAAGGAGAAAGACAATTTTGTTGTTGCCTTATGATAAGGTGAGATTTATAATGTTTAGTTTTTAGTGGTTATATTTATCTATATGTTTTTGGAACAGTGAGAACTCAAATAGAAAAAATAGGAGAGTTTTGGATCTATTAAGTAGAAGAAAAAAAACACATAAAATCCCAAGAAGACATAGAAGGGAATTGATCACCTTATTTCATGCGTAACTTGAGTTTCGTAAGTCTGTTTGAGGTGTCGTTAGTTGCATTAGAAAGTTATGAAATATTATTTCTTTAGAATTGAGAAAATTGAGTCTAGGAGCACTAAAATAGTAGTATTTCTCTAGTTTTTATATCATGTACGTACTTAAATTTCAGTCATGCGTTGGTCATCTTATTTCACGTGTAACTTGAGTTTCGTAAGTCTTTCTGAGGTGCATTGAATTGCATTAGAAAGAGAGTTTAATGATCTTTTATAAATTTATTATAATTCTATAATTTTTTATTCTATTTTTAAGTCATACATTTAGAGTTGATTTAGATTAAGCGAGTTAAGTTTGAGTTATTTAATATTTTTAGAGTTGAGCCTGAAATGTTAAGGAATGAGTTTAAAGTCTTTTTGATAACATTAGAGTTGAAGGTAAATAATAATGTGTTATATTGAGTTGTCTTATGGGCTATGAGTTGATCTTGTTGAACGTAAGAGTTGTAAAATATTACTGTTACCTTGTTGGTGAGTATATTTGTTGAGTAGTAATATATTTACCTTGCTAATGAGTAATATTGAACATGTGTAATAATTTTCTTACCTTGTTGGTGGACTTACACGAGTAATAATATGTTTACTCTATTAATGAGTGTTGTTAAGCACATATTTTTATATTTGACATGCTGGTGTGTAATGTTGAATGTATATATAATTATATGTTAAGTTGTGATTACATATGCATTATCGAGTTATAACTATATGCATATGATTTATGGTTCAAAAAGGAACATGTGGTGATTATTGCACTTGTATGTTAATGTTGTTGCATATCATGAATCATGTGTGTCGTGATAGATGTACGAACCTAAGTCCAGTAACAAGTCTCTGGTTCAGAAGAAGAAACCAGTGACAAGTCGGGGTTCGAAAGGGAACGTGATTCGAAAGGGGAATCATCGGTGAATGGACAAAATTAGTAACATAACTTTAATGTCCAAGTTTGGTACCACATGCATTAGAGTTAAGGTATTGATCACATTGTACGCATATTCATATTGTGAGGTGATTATTATGGTCTGAATAATTCATGTGTTGTTGAGTATTGTGTATGATGTTATCCTAACTGTTTATTACACTGTTAACATTATGAACATATTTCTCACCATTTTTTGTTTGTTTGTGTCGCTTGTTGTGCCAATGGTACAAATACCGAGATAGATGGTCATTAACTACTACTATGTGGAAGGATTGACATAAACATTTACTTCGTTTTATTATCATTTTTGAATTTACTTAGTATTTTTGGATTTTTAGCTCTGATTGTGTAACATCAGTGCAGGTTATCATTTTGTTGATGTTTTCTTGAGAGTTTGTTGGATTTATTTCCTTATGTTGGAACTAAGTTGTTTCATGAAAATATGAGATATTTAAGTTGAGATAATGATGTTTTAATTTTCCACAACTTAATTTGATGTTGAGAAGGAGGAATTTTATGAGGAATGTGTGAAATCCTATGTTGATTTTAAAATAAATAATTTGCATGATCTTTTTTAATATGCGTTTTGGGGTTACAATGTTACACATGGCATACATAGCTACTACATAATAAAATATATAAAGCAGTTTCAACTACTGCATGCTAGAACATACTTTGATTACAACATGCATATCCTAGTCGAACCAGGAAGATACCCATGTCGAGACTAGAGTTCGATTAAAATACTAGAAAGCTGATATGAATTACATAAACTATGTTGAATCTTCTAATTTTGAAATTGTTATTGCTGCGATGTGCTTGTATTCTTGAAATAAATTATATAATGTCCCTTTATGTGCCTTATGTGAAATTCATATATGTGAATTATGTAAAATCATTTTGTGTGAATTATGTGAGATCCCAACATGTGAGTTATGTGAACAAGTGATGTGAAAATTGAATAACATTTATGTTGGTAATAAGTTCTTCAACGACTAACATAATCTCACATCAAACAAAAAAGATATGTAGTACACAATATTTTAGTGCATTATTTTAATTATCTACCAAATAATACTTTAATTCCAAAATACAAGTTACACAATCTTTCTACAATGTGAATTATATTAATTTCTCTATCTAGAACTTAATATTGAGAGAGTTATTTCATTTACAGAAGATGTTTTTCTTTTCGAAATAAATTTCTCTTTAGTCGATATCATTTCATTTAAGAAACCAGGCTCCTTTGGTTGAGGTAAAGTACTTTCACTACCTAACATCATAATTATATGTGGCATGTTTGGTCTATAATCGGGAACATGTTGCACACATAGAAGACCTATTTGAATGCATCGTAAAGCTTCATTTTGAACACATGTGTCTTTTAAACCAATATCAATCAATTCATGTGGGACTCCTTCTCTCCACAATCTCCATGCCTTCAAATATTCAATAGAATTGTTATTTAGTGCGTTAATAAAAGCAAACGAAATGTTTAATATCATACTTACTTGCCAAATAAGATTGTGATCGTGTTCATGATAGGTAAGTGGTCTATTTTTCTTTCCACTTATCACTTCTAATAATAACACACCAAAGCTGAATACATCGGATTTTATGGAGAAGAATCCATTAATGACATACTCAGGTGCCATATAACCACTGAAAGAGACCATTTAAAAATCAATTTGATGATAAATTAATCCTATTAAAGTTTTATTATCATATAAGATACTTACTATGTTCCAACTATTCTTCTTGTCTTTCCTTCAATTTGATCACCTCCGAACATTTTAGCTAGGCCAAAATCTGAAATTTTTGGGTTCATTTCATTATCTAATAAAATGTTACTCGCTTTTAAATCTCTGTGTATGATCCTTAACCTAGAATCTTGATGAAGATATTGAAGTCCTCGTGCAACTCCATTCAAGATATTGAAACGCATAGACCAATCTAAGAGTTTACTTTGAACCGAATCTGTTAATATTTTAAAATGAATTGATAAAACAATTATTTTTCTTTTCAAAATAGCACATAAAACAACTAAAGTTATTAATTTTTAAAAAGAAAGTTACTAACCAAAAATAAATAAATCAAGACTTTTTTTAGGCATGTACTCATAAAGTAATATTTTTTCCTCTCCTTCAATGCAACAACCAAGAACCCTCACAAGATTTCGATGTTGCAATTTAGCACACAATATAACTTCATTTTTAAATTCTATCAACCCTTGTTCAGAACTTTCTGAAAGCCTTTTCACAGCAATTATTTGTCCATCTACCATTGTACCCTGAATAATATTATTAAAAAAACGATTACTAATGAGATTGATGAATTATCTCTTTAATTTCAAATCAAACTTGTTAAAAATGTACCTTATATACGGGCCCAAAACCACCTTCACCGAGTTTATTTTCAAATGAGAAGTTATTGGTAGCCTTGAGTATTGAGGATACATCAAATAGAGGAAGCTCAAAATCTTCATGCCCCCATTGGAGATTTTTCCCTTTTATCACAAGACTCAGGATCAATGAGATTTAAAATTGAAACTTACACTAAATTTAAAATCTTAAGAAAATTACCTTTATGTTTTGCTTTGGTTATATAAATGTAAGAGATAACAAATAGGGTGAAAAGGGTCATGGAAAGTGTGATTGAAACTGCCAAAGTTACCTTTTTCTCCAACCCATGTTTAACATCTAATTACAAGTTCTCAAAAAAAATCACTAGTCAAATGTTAATTTAATATAACAAACACTAAAAGCTTAAACATATTTCAAACTCTTACCAATATCCGAACTAGTATCTGTACGAACATATAAATCTTGTCCACTACTTTGTGAAAGTCTCAAATCAGTAAGATCCTCAAACCAAAGAGAACAACCACTAACTACTCTGGTTGGATTCAAGTATGTATAAGCAGTGCAAGAACAATTTTGTAAGCATTTCATTTTGCAATTCTCAAGTGTCATGCTTAGATCGATCCAAGAATTCGTAGTATCTGGAAACTTCATCCCGACAAATTTATGAAACCCGTCTCGTTTTTTAACTCCACAACTCCAATTTCCACTCCGCACGCATCCTTGCGACCAATCCATTGCATTCCATTGTTGATAGGATTTCGGCTTAAATCCGTCTAAACATTGACACATTGGCGACCCATCAATGATACAATGTCCGTTCACGCCACAAACATTGTAAAAATCACAAGCATCAAGTGGCAATGATTGATAAACACTCCATGTTTTTGACTTGGGAACCCAAATGAGACGTTGGCGAGACAAAAGGGTTTGGTTTATAATCATTATAGAAATCACAAATTTGTTTTTTAGTGTGTACCTATAATACGCCTCATCTTTGTTGTTGATAAATTCGAAATTATAAAGTGGATTAGTCTTTAATCCAACAACTCCACTAGTTTGAGCATTCCATGGACCCGACCTATAATATTTTGTTAAACCTTTCCAAATTATTCCTTCGGGATTGCTCGTATGCATCATGGTTATAGTTAAATCACCTGAAGACGGATCATTTGCAGTTCTCCAAGCCACAAGACGTTTTTCAAATCCGGTTTTTTTGTTCCATCCAAACTTCATTTCTGGTAATATTGTATCACACGGATAATCAAAACTCTGCCACAAAAAATTTTCTTCATCTCCCAAATTCAATCCTAAATTTGAATTTGAATTCTCATATCTGAGTACTAAATTCCCGTTGTCCAAAAGTTGAAGGACAACGGGACTCAAAATCTTTCTTGTTGCGTTTATTGACCAAACAAGAGATTCATTGTGGTCGAGAAGCACAAGGTTTCCATCCTGATTTATGATCAATTTGCTCGAAACATCTTTGGTTGGATTATCACGATTTGCAACCCAAACAACTCTTCGAACCGGGATATTTTTATACCAAATACCTATATAACGGTTTGAGAAATTACCAAAAAATCCCAATTCAAAGGTTCCATCTTTAGAAATCAAAGTGCTGCCATCAAGAAATGGAGTTGACTGGGTGATAGTATCTGTTGCAAATGAAATTTGAGATATAACAAAAATCAGATTAGCGATGATGATTAGCATAGAAGGAAAAGCCATTTTGTGATGATTTTGGGATCATACAAAACAACCAAAGAGAAGAAAGATAGTATATGATGAGAGTTTTCAATAATAATATTTCTGAATATATATTTTAGAACTGCTGACTGATTTTCTTTATCTACGTTTGAAATATTCAATGGTTACTTCCTTTGTGTTTTTTGAAATATTCAATGTATTCATAATGATGTGAGCATTGTTATGTTTTTCTTTTGATTAAACATTTTTTTAAACTAACACTCATTTTCAAATGGTAGTTTTAAAGACTTATGTGACAATACATTAAATTTCCATTTAATCCAAGTATTAAAAAAAATTTCCCGCTGCAGACTTTTGTTCATAAATAAATATAAAGTACCTTTTGAAAGTCTTCACATAGATGGTCTCTTATGTCAATAAAAATATAAGCTTATTTTATTTGTATGAATTTTAAAACATATTTTGATTGATTTAATATTATGGATTCAAATCCTCACAAAAACACATAATTATTTTATATTAAATATCATGGATTCAAATCCTCACAAATACAAAATTATATTATTTTCATAAATTTAATAAAATACTATTTATATTTATCTTACTATAATTATTTAATTATGAAATAGAAATAATTATATACGAGTACATGTAATAATTGTTTTCAAATCATTAAAATTTTAATATAAATTCCCCTGCAATACTTTTTATATGTAATTTCATAAAATAAAATATTAAAACTTATTTAAAAATTAACAAATAAATCATGCATTACGGGGTTACGCGTATTTTTTAATTTAAAATTAAATATTTAAAATAGATACAAGTATAAACAAATATAAAATCAAATGCAATAACTAGCTATTGGTCATATCACTACAAGAAAATATGATATTAGATAGGGGCATGGCAAGCAGAAAACCCCTCACTAAAAAAAACTAGGTTGCTTCGGGATAAACCCTTCGCAAAGCATAACATAGAAAAAAAAAATAGAAAACACTTCCTAGAAGATACCCCTCGCAAACAAGGAGAGAAAATATTTTGAAATTTGAAACATGTTTTTACTACGGGTCAGCGCAAAAATTGGGTGGAAATTGAGGCAATTTGCGAGGGGCCAACCCCTCACCATATTATGATGTGCAATTTGCGAGGGGTCTCCCCTCACTAGTTGAGATGTTTTAGTTAAATCCAATTGAAAAAACATTTATTCTACTGCTACATGACAGGAAAGGGACTGCAACACGTTAACGCTGGCTAGGGGCAGCCCCTCGCAAATTTAATGTTCCTAGTCTGCGTGGAGTAACCCCTCACAAGTATTGTCCACGTGCCACACATGCAGTCATTCATCTGACACGTCAATGTGACCGTTGGACTCGCGTGGGGAAGCCCCTCGCAAATGTCTCCATCATTAAACGCGCTGCAAATTCCCACTCATATAATAATATATGTTTATTGAGTTTAAGTTATTTCACCCTTTCTTCTTCTATCCTTTATCTTCCACCATTTTTCTTCTCATTCAATACAATCAAGTTTTTATTTTTTGTATACAGAAGAACATAATCTTGTTTGCTGATAGTAGGTAAATATTTATGTTATGTTATATTATCTTTGTATTTTGTAATTAATTTTATTTTTTTAAATTTATTAATTAATTTTTTTATTTATTTGTTGTGTTGCATGTATACTATTGATAATAAAGCTCTCAAATTTCACTTAAAAGGAGCTACAAATTTAAGGGAGCATAAAAAAGTACATATCTATTTTATTCCTCAAGACTTTAGGTGTAATTGATATTAATATATGTTGATTTTGGTTTGATGTTGGTATAATAAAATATATATTATTTTTTATTTCAAAATTTATGTATATATTTATAGTAAATTATTTTTGAAAATATTATTTTTATTTCTTATGTTTTTCAGATTTATATTATAATAGTTTTAAAATATTTGTTAGAAAAAATTGTAAAAAACAGTATAGATATATTTTGTTTATATTATTTAGTATATAAATTTATATATATATATATATATATATATATATATATATATATATATATATATATATATATATATATATATATATATATATATATATATATATATATATATTGTTTAGTATATATTATTAAATAAACAGATTATAAAAACAGATCATATTATAAAAACGATTATATTATATTTAGTTTATATTATAAAACAGATTTTAAAAATAGATTTATAACATAAATTATAAAAAAATATTTATTAAAGTATTTATTAAACATATTTTATAAAACGGATTTATTAAAATATTTATAACACAGATTTTAAAAAATAGATTATATATTAAATATGTTAGTGAAAATAGTATTGTATAAAAAAATATTGTTTAAAAAAGAGAATATATATTAAAATTTTAAAAATCTGATTGTATATAATAAATATTTTTATATAAGAGTATTTATAAAATAAAATTTGAAAACATATTATATACTATTTTAATAAAAGAATAGATTATATATTAATATACATTTTTATTTAAAAAGTATGAGTTAAATCATAAAAATATATAATTTGTAATATATTTAATTAATATATACACTTTTTATTTAGAAAGTTTACATTTTTATTTAGAAAGTATATATTTTTTAAAATATTAATATAATTTAGTAATATATTTATAAGAAACATAATATTGTTCTAAAGTATGTAAATTTGTAAAAATATGTTATAATTTTTAAAACTTTAAAAATATATTATAATTTAGTAATATATTATAGAATATAAAGTATGTAAATTTGTAGAAACATAATATATAATATTATTGTAAAGTATGTAAATTTGTAAAAATATGTTATAATTTGTAAATTTATAAAAATATGTTATAATTTAATAATATATTATATAATATAAAATATATAAATTTGTAAAAATATGTTATAATTTGTAAATTTGTAGAAATATATTATATAATATTTATAGAAACATATAAGTATATAATTTGTACGTTAAAATATATTATAAAGTATGTAAATTTTTAGAAACATAATATATAATATTGTTGTATATTACATATTTTTATAAAATAATAGGTTATATATACTCATATACATTTTTTATTTATAAAGTATGTTATATATTTTAATAATATATTTATTAAAAATATGAATTTATCATAAAAGTATATAATTTGTAAGTTATTCTATTTAGAAAACATTAATATTGTATTAAACATATGTATTAAAAAATATAGATTTTTTTTAGAGAGAAAAGTATATATTAGATCTATATGATATATTAGTTAGATCAATATAGTCATATATTTGTCGGTAGATCAATTCCTTTTTTCTTAAATTTAAATTTAAACCTGAACGACATTATACATGTGTAGTATGGAATATTATCAGTTCTATCATAGTTGGATGTATGATAGAACGTATCCAGGAAGACGTGGGCTTAAACCACATTTTAAAGAAGGAGTTGATGCATCTCTTACATATGCATTTGCTCAAGAATGTTGTCGAAGCGAAGGAGGGGTAAGATGTCCGTGTTTAAAGTATGGTTGCAGAAATATAATTAGTGACCCAAATGAAGTGAAACGTCATTGGAGAAAGATGGTTTTAGGCCAAATTATTAGGCGTGATATTCTAATGGAGAAATACTGCCAAAGATGAATATAGAGGCTTCAAGCAATCAAACACATGTTGGAGTTGAGATAGGTAGAGAGGCATCATGCAGTCAACCATATTTGCAAGACCAGGAACAATTTAATCTCATAGATGATATGGTTGGTGATGCATTAAGGGTGAATGTGACTTATGATGAACCTCAAGATTTTGATGTAGATGAGCTCCCGAACGAGGAAGCGTAAAATTTTTATCAATTGTTGAAAGAAATAAATATACCATTGTTTGAGGGGTCTTGTGACTCCATGTTATCCATGTGTGTGAGACTATTGGCTGCGAAGTTAAATTGGAATGTTCCTGATCAGTGTTTGGGATTCTTTGCAAAAATGATGATATTGGATGTGACTCCTGTGAAATAAAATATGCCTACAAGTTATTATGATGCGTAGAGAATAGTGTCGAAGTTTGGACTAAAAGTGAAAAAGATTGATTGTTGCATTGGAGGTTGTATGTTGATTTATGTTAAATAGTTTGGTACAAATGATGGGGGATTGGAGGAATGTAAGTTTTGTCAGAGTCCGAGGTATTTAGCTCCCAGTAAAGGCGTTGATCGAAAATAAAAATGACTTGCAGTGAAGTCCGTGTTCTATTTGCCAATAATTTCTAGATTGCAAAGAATGTTTGCGTCAATTCATAGTGCAAGCCAAATGGCATGGCATCATATATACAAATTCCAATAGTTCAGGCATGATGTGATATCCATCTGATGGCGAGGAATGTAAATACTTTGATAGAGTACATACAAATTTTGTAGTAGAACCCAGAAATGTCAGGCTCAGATTATGCTCAGATGATTTTATTCGTTATATCCAATTGTCAGCAATTGCCTATTCTTGTTGGCCAGTTATTGTTACCCTGTACAATATCGCTCTTGAGATGTGCATGATGAAACCTTACATGTTTTTGACATGCCTCATTCCAGTACGGTTGAGTCCAAAAGCGGGAATAGATGTTTATTTGCAACCTTTAATTGATGATTTGAAGAGGTTGTGGATTGGAGAATGGACTTATGATGTGTCTCACAGACAAAACTTTAATATGCGAGCTGCTTTGATATGGATAATTAATGAATTTCATGCATATGGCATGTTGTCTGGTTGGGGTACGCGTGGCAAAATGGGATGTCCGCATTGCATGAGACATAAAAAAGCGTTTACTTTACAAATGGGTGGTAAAAGTTCATGGTTTGACTGTCACCGTAGATTCTTACCTATGAACGATGTTTTTACAAAAAATAAGAATGCTTTTAGAAAAGGAATAAAATTAACAGATATTCCTCCCCCTCGTCTGTCATTGACTGAATTATGGAATAGTGTTAGTGACCTGCCAAAATTCACAGATAATGGTAAAGCAT